GTAGACACCTGGCAAGGTTCTGCGTAAGAACAGCTGTTCTTGCGCAAAAAGCCTGCAGTGTAGACCTAGCCCTGATGTAAAGTGACCATCTATCAGAGTCCAGCTTGCCTGGTGTCCTACTGACTGGAGTGGCTCTCAACCATGAGTGCTAACCTTAGGGCAGACTGTCAAAATGGAGGGCAGAGATCCTAAGTCGGCTGTATATTCTACAGTAAGATTTCACTGACCCAGTAACATACTTGTCTCTGTTTCTAAATATATCAAATTCAGAACTCCTTTTCCTAGAGCTTCCAGGCAGTTCGCAGCTCTATAAAGAGGAATAAAGAAACATTGACAAGATAGGAATTTCCATGTTGTATGAAATCTGTGCCCATGTAATCTAGGATCCTGTTTCAGACAAAGACCAGTGTTAGGTGCTTCAGGGAAAAATGAACCTGCCCATAAAGGAGTTCTCTGAATAATCTTTGTCAATTACCAATTGGCTTTTGCCTTGGAGTAGGAGTCATTCTATCCAGTATCAGTTATTTTTATGCTGTCTAACGTAATTGCAACTATATAAATTACACCATTATGCCCATTAGCGATATAAATCCCACTAAGTTTTGGGCCTTTGTGGTATCTTGTTTCAGTAAGTGACACAAATTAATTATGCATCGCATTGAAAAGCATCCCCTAGTGTCTTTTTTCATATTTCCTCTCTCGATATTTCTGGTTTTGCAAGATGCTGAGCGCTCTCTTATAAAAGCTATGTATGACTGGGCTTCTAGATATTTCCAGTTTTTCCATCTTTAGTGGAAAGAAGATTGGTGCCATTTCATAACCTGCAGCTATATTGTATGTAGAGGCTGGACATCCCTGGTCCAGCACCCTGGGGACCTGACCGGTCCTGAACACGGATAGTTTCTGGACCAGTGTAACACCCTCTTGAAATACAGGAATAGTCTCTTGGATAGGATTGCACAGTAAGATGAGGGCCCGTTGTGGGCCCCCTCATAGCCTTAGGGCTGTTTGGCCTTTAGAGTTTTGGATCCTGGTTACAGCTGCTGGATCGTAGTGGTGATTGACTTTCCTCTTTTTGGTATCTCTTGTGTTGCTATTACAGCCCAGTGCAGTGATTCCATGTGCAGTCAGTGCAATCTCTTGGGTTCCCTTCCTCCCAGATATGATTGCTGCAGACAGGGCCTTGGTGAGTCTGTCTATAATAAAGTCAAAGCCTCCAAAGGAAACCGTCCTTTCTAACTGCTCTAACCAAGAGACTTGCCATGATATGGCAGCCCTCACTGGAGGCAGTTGCAGTTCTGGCTGTCCCATCTCTGCAGGCTCAGGTTGGGAAGTTGTTGTAGTTTTAGGTTGCTGCCCCATTACCTCATGATGTTGAGAACTGTATTCAGGCAAGTGTTGAGGCAGAATCTCCAGAACGGTGAGGGCAGCTTCCCTCCCCATTTTGGGGCCAGCACTATTCCTTTCAGGAAAGGCAGTTTTGGAGGCACATGTGCTGGCCCTTACATGGACGTGGTTCTTGCTCGCAAGTGTTGGGAATGATACTAGTTCTTCCATAGATGACTTCTGGCTGGGGTGTCTTTGATATAGTATAAGACCTTCTGTGGGGGTGAGATCTCTGGGTGGTCTTGGAGACTGTGCTGCATCTTGTAAGGGTGAAGTCCCTGTGTGGTCTGAGCATGGGGCTTATTTCCTCCACCAGTTAGGTCTTGCTGGTTGGTCTTGAAGGTTGTGCTGGATCTCCCAGGGGTGAAGTCCTGCTGTGTGCTGTTAGCACTGGGGACATCTTCTCCACTGGCTGGATCTCACCTGGTGGCCTGTGAAGTTGTGCTAGCTGCAGGCACACCAAAGGGGGAGGACAAAGGAGGCAACTGCCCTGGGGCCTGGCGATTCAAAAAGGCCTCTTGCTACTGTCACAGCAGCAGTGCTTGGAGCTCTGGGCCCCTTAAATTGCTGCTGGAGCGCTGCCTGGGGTCTAGCTTGGGAATTCTGGAAGCAGCACTTACTCTTCTGATAGCAGCATCCCATTGGGAACAAGAATGGTTCTTCCCTCAGCAAATGATTGGACCATGGTTTTGTTCTGTGGTGCTGGGGACACTGGATGGGATGCAGTATCAGTTCTAGAAACAAAACCTTATGAGCTCAGTGGTGGCTAATATGTCACAGCTATGAGTGAGAAGCAGGATGACAACTCTGCCTTATCGCTTCCTTCCCTCCTGTTTTAGGAGAAATGTTTCTAATTCACCCTCTTTTAGGCTATATGCTGTGGTGTCGGGAAAGTCATTCACTATGGACCCAGTCCTGCAAAGTGCTGAGTTCTTTGGCACCAATTCTGAAAAGCACTTGAACAGATGCTTAAGTTATTGTGTCTTATTGCAAGCTTAAAGTTAAGAATATACTTAAGTGATTTGCTGGATCACTGCTAGAATACTGAGCACCTGCCAAATCAAGTCCTGTTAGGGTTGCCAATCTTGTTTGGACGTATTCCTGGAGGGTGCATCACATGACATAATCTTTAATTACAGATTAATCTTTAATTTCTGGAAACTCTGGGATAATCCTGGAGGGCTAGCAACCCTAAATCTGGGATGTTTCTATCTACAGCTCCTGGCAAAATGGGTCGTTGGCATGGTTAATGCCTCTCGGTGCTATCACTGTATAAATGGCCATATATCAAAAATAACCCTTCACTTATGTTAAAAAGGTTACTTTAGTTGCAAAGTCAAGCTTATAAAAGTTAGGAAATCCTTAACCAAAATTAGTAAAAGGCTGGAGGAAATGACTAATTTGGAAAGATTTAAAGAACAAAGTCTTACTAGAGGGTGAAAAAGGAGACAAGGATGAAATGGTTGGAAGTAGAGTCTACAGAGATTTGACTCCTGAAAATGCCAAGGAGGGAGAGGAATTATTATATCTTTGCACAAAGGTGCATGCAGCAACAAGAAGAGGAAAACTTAGGCTAAATATTGGGAGAAAATGCCCTGACAGTGAGATAGAGCACTCAGATATTACAGTGATGAGCATGATATAGGAATAGATGTATGCAACTGTGGAACAATCTTCCAAGAGAAGTGGTGTAAGGCTAATCACTGGAAATATATACAACTAAAGTGGAGAGAACAGTAGAAATATACTGAAGAGAACATTCCTGCACTGGCAGGCATGGACTGAGTAGTAAACTAGGTCTTTTCCATTCACCTGAAAGGATCGCCCCCAAAACACTGAAAGAACCCAGCTTCACTTCCAGATCCCAAGATGATTTTGCAGGGCCAGCAATTGCAGAAAAGCTTCTTATTACTGAGCTAATTTCATATGGAATCTTTGAGGCACAGTAAACATGGAATCCTATGATAACATGCTTAAAGTGGTCATTTATAGTGGGACACACGTGTTCCATGGCAAGAAATGGTTGAAACAGTAAGATATCTGACAGATTTGAAGGATGTGCCTTAGATTGAAATCCCAGAGACAATGATTCTAGCTGGAATCTTTATCTGCAGTTGGGGTACTGGACTACAGATTGAATCTTCCTAGTCCAGCACCCTTGGGACCTCACCAGTCCTGAAGGAGGGACTTTGCTGGATTAAGGGAGGTCAGACCCTCTGCTGACAAACTCTGGGCTCTCCTGGGGTTTGTCAACAGATCCCCTTGGGGTAGCCGGGACTACTTCTGTCCTGGGACTCTGCAGTCAGTCCCTTGGTCACTGGGACACTGCTGCTTGAGGGCTGCTGGAGCTTCACGGCCAGCTGCTCCCTGCGGGAGCTCTCTCTGATCCAGGGGTTCTACGATCCAGTAACACCTGTGGTCCTGCCAGACCATAGATGTTGCCGGACCAGAGAGTCCCGCGCCAGAGAAGTTCAATCTGTATTGGAGGTAAGTGTGTAGCAAAACCAATTTCACTTTTGGTTGTTGTAATTATAGCAAACCTCAGTGCCAGAAGTTCAGATTCAAATATGGTTCAAATGTGTATCCATAGTTATGCTCTCCAATAGACTTATTATCCAAGGACTATTTGATGCTTAATGGCAACAGAAAATGTGCAAAATGCAGCATTTGAAAACCCACTGGGGAACCAGATTTTAATAATCATGTCACAAGTTTCTGGCAAGAAATGTGTATGTATAATTTTTGTAATGGGGAACTATTTTTAGTTCCCTTGCACACAATTCAAAGGAAAAAATAAGGGGCCAGTCAATCCGCTGCATATAATTAAACAAACAAATGCAGAGCTTAATTAAATTATAGTTCAGTTATAAAATGCTGGACTTTCTAAAACCTCAGAAATCATTATTGATCAAGTACTCCACCACTTCTGGGTTTGTCATCAGCCTGAAGTGGTGAATTATTCATGAATTTGAGCTTAATAGAGTAATTGTTCTTTCTGATTATCAGTATCTGTGTGAAATGTCTAGACTTAAGTTGCTTTTATTTTTTTCTTGGTGGCTGCACAGCATCATTGCCTTGCTAAAGCTATCTGCTTATCACTCTAATTGGCCAAATATTGCAGTCCTTGCTAAGGTAAAACTCTCAGTGACTTCTATGGAGATGGTGCCTAAGGAAAAAAAAATCAGATTACAGGATTATGGCCAGTGTGAAATCTATGGTATCCATTCCCCATGCTACACATTTCAAAGTAAGAAGCAAACCACTCCCAATCATTCTTCATCTAACCCCCCCCCCCTCCAAAACCAAATAAAAACCATTTTAATTTACCACAATATTTACATATTTTGCATTATGCTAATGCAAATGAAGAGATTTAGTTCTGCCTGTGGCATATTTTAAAAATGCAATTTGTTAATAGCCTTCCAACAAAAATAAAAATCAACAAAAATATGGCCTTTGGTAGGCACATTAAATTTATCACCTCTGCACCACTCCCACAGAGTTTATGAATCATCATACCCTGAGATTATTTATTAACAGAGCCTATATCTAGTCATCTCAAAATAGTCTACATTTAAAGTTCTCCCTCTTTTTTTATTGTCTGTTTTATTTAGCAGTTTGTTTGCTGTCCGAGCCAGTGGGCATAAATGATTTGTGTGTGTGAGAGATGAACTGCCAGTTGGAGCATGACCAAAACACAGCAGCTGCCAGTCTGCCAGCAGTCACAGTGAGTAATTCAAAATTAACTGCAAAAACTATTTGTCAAGTTTACTTTGAAAAGTTTCATCTCCGTGTTGGAAATCTCTCTGAAAGAACAGGTCTGGATGCGTCCCTTTAGTACTATGATTTTGCAACAATGGCTGTTGCAAAACAGTAAAGCATTTATTCTGTTCTATGATAATAGCCCTGCTGCTCATTTAGAGTTGGCTGAAAAACCATGATGCGGCAACAGAATAAGGATCTTCATGCTCTCTCATTGCATTCCTAATTGCTGTGGTATCTCCTTAACAGTGATGCAACTCTTATACACTAAACACCAGTGATCATACTGTTGTTTTTTTGTCAAGCAAACCCTTTGTTTTCTTTGTAACCAAATGAGGCATATCTATGCAGCCTGATGATGCCTTCTGTAGATGTTAAATACACAAGGGGCTCTACTTATCTTTTCATTGACAAGTGTGTTTCCCTTTCCTCCAGTCTTGGATTTTCATTCTGTCATCTAAGGATGCTGCACTCCCAGTAATGGGAGTTCCAGTTAAACTTTTAATCAAACCCATTAAGTTCATGTGGGTTCAGCATTAGGCATGACATGTGAAACTGCTTCCCACTGATCATTGACTTTGGCACCTGAATGTAAGACAGATTGTGATGTCTTCCCTCTCCTTTTCTATTGTATAATTCAGCATTGCTTGACTGTCCAAAACTCCATCTCCAAGTAGGAAAGGAATATAGAACTGGTTCCTAATCTAAAAGCCCAGATCTAGGGATCAGATCCTGTCAGAACAATTGGTTGAGTGCTGCTTATACCCACAAGGAAGGCATGTAAGGAGGAATCCTCTTTGCATTTCAGAGTGGCTGCAGAGCTGCTCCACAGAGCTCACTTTCACTTTGTGACTTTGGTGCATCCAACAGATGTGGAGGTGGAGACAGAGGATCTGTGCAGCAACAGACTGGAAAATCCACACAGTGAGCAAATGCTTTGCCCCACACTTCTACCAGCTCTTCTCTTCCCAGCCTCCGGAATGGCCTCACAATTGCCTCTGAGCCATGGAATCAGACAGATCCCTCTGCCAAGGGTTATTCTGCAGCTGTGATGGACTGAGGTAGATTTCTCCATCACTGAAAATTACATATAGATTTTGTTCGCTCTGTCAATGACATACACACTGATAGATGGACAATATAGGTTGCCATAAGTTGCATGGGCAGGGAACAATGAAAGATTTCAGCCCGGGTGTGCGAGGAAGCCTGCAGCAGCAAGAAGCTCAACCAGTCATTGGTGTAATGCAGTGGATAAAATACAGCCTTGGGCTATCATAAGTCTGTCACTTTGTCCCAAGATCTCTATGTTGTCAGAGCAGGTGTTTCATGGACAAATCCTTCTCACCACTCCCACATCAAAGCCCCAGATTACAAAAAAGCTTCTTGCAAGTTTTTGCAAATTGAATGGTGATATCATTTAATCATTTTCAGAATAATTTTTCCATGCAGTTATCTTTGTTTTTAGGACTTTTCCTATATATTACTTTGACAGTGAGGACAGTATTATTATTCAGGAAAAGCTGATACAATTTCACATGCCTAATTGTGGCATTGCAGTTCAAAGTAGAACTCCTCAAAATAGGTAACCTTCTATTCTCTCTTTCTGTAAAAACAGACAGGAAAATAAGATTTACAGCATGGAGGGGAAATGCTTTAAACATGGCAGTATTTCAAAGCGGTTTGTTGGTTCTTCTTGGGGAGAACTTTACAGCTTGTTTACTATATAGAAATCTGTCTGTCTTCATTAACTGCTTCACAAGATGTCTGCTTTGCCTCAGCATGTCCTCTTAGTTCTTTATTAAGATTTTGCCTCCTAAGTATGCCATGCATTGATTTCTTCACGCTCTCTAAAATATGCAGACCAAAATTCTCCAGTACTTCTTAGGAAGAAAATGTTGGTGCTGTAACACTTCACAGGTCAAAATTTTAACTGGGAATCTTAAGTGGCACCATAGAGCGGAACTATCCACAGCTGGGATGAATGTTATGATGAACCAGATCCAGCGGAGTCACGCAAAACAATTCACACCTCTGGCAATGGCAAGTCTTAGTCAAAAGTGGAGATGTCTGTTGATATCTAGAGCTAGCAAACAGGAGTGGATATCTGGGGCGTATTGCGAGGGAGTTCTCAAGTGGATATCTGGGGTGTAATGGAGGAGCAATTACATGACCCATGAGGTAAGTTGTTGTCTGTAGAGTGTGTGTGTGTGTGTTCGTTCGTGGAGAGCTTGCTTGAAAAATACTGTGTGGTTTGTTTGTTTTGAGGACTGTGTGCTGAGGCTTGCAGCCTGCTGGAGAAAGCTAAGAGCTTGTTAATGAGGCTTTGATCCCTAATACCTTTAGAATGGTGACATGCCTGCCTGGTGTGAAGGTTGCGGATCTCTTGAGATGTCTAGGTAGACTGTGTAGTGCTCGGGAGGAGCTGGAAGTAATGGTACATGTCCAGGACTTCCATGGTAGCATTCTCTGAAATGTATTTATTACCATGTGCACAATCAGATAGACAGGCAGAACTGCAGGTCTCAAAGCGTGGATGAGATGATGGTATATGAAGAGTTTAGTTTTATTAGGAACTGGGGAAACGTTTGGGAAAGGGGAAGCCTATACAGGAAGGGTGGGGTCCTCTTAAACCAAAATGGAACCAGATTGCTGACACTTAACATTAAAAAGGTCACAGAGCAGTTTGTAAATTTAGGGCTTGGAGGAAAACCAACAGGGCCAGAGGAGCACATGGAACAGACAGAGACCTCTCTTGGGGGAGGATTTATTAATGGAGATTGTCTATGTCCTAGTAAGGAGGAGAAGGCAGAAGATGATAAAATAGGGGAGAGATCTGATGAGAAATAGTCCAATGAAAGAGTCCCATTCAATCACATCATGTAACGGCAGACAGCTAAAAAGTGACAAGTTTTTAAAGTGCTTATATACAAATGTTAGAAGTCTAATTTATAAGATTAGTGAACTAGCATGCCTTGAATTGAATGAGGATATTGATATAATAGGCATCATAGAAAGTTGGTGGAATGAGGACAATCAACGGGACACAGCAATACCAGGTACAAAAGGGGGAGAGGCGCTATATGTGGAATCAAATGAAGTAAAAAATTGTAATGAACAGAAACTGTACCATAGAATTTCTATGGATACTAATTCATAATATTAATTCTAATAAGAATATAACAGTTGGCATATATTTTACAGACTGCCTGACCGGAATGATGATGCTAACAGTGAAATGCTTAGGGAGAATAGAGATATTATTAACATGTACCCAGTTGGTATTGGGAAAGTTGAAATCCCTCCAATATTACAGTGTTTGTCACCTCAGGATGAGATGAAGAGATAAAGTTTCTTGTCACCTTAAATGACTGCTTCTTGGAGCAGGTAGTCTTAGAATCTACAAGAGGAGAAGCAATTCTTGATTTAGTCATAAGTGGAGCACACAATCTGATTCAAGAGGTGCATATAGCTGGACCATTTGGTAATAATGATAAATAATATAATTAATTTAACATCCTGGTGGTGGGGAAAACACTACAGCAATACTGCAGTATTTAATTTGAGAAAGAGGGAATACATAAAAATGTAGAACTTAGTTAAACTGAAATTAAAAGCCACAGTGCCGAAAATGAAATGCCTACAAGCTGCTTGAAACTTTTTAAAGACACTGTAATAGAGGCTTAATTTAAATGTATATTCCAAATTAAAAAACATAGCAAGAAAACCAAAAAAGTGCCACCATGGCTAAACTACAAAGTAAAAAGAGCAATGAGAGACAAAAAGGTATCATTTAAAAAGTGGAACTTAAATCGTAGTGAGGAAAATAGAAAGAAGCATGAACTCTGTGGCAAATGAAGTGTAAAAATATTATTAGGAAGGCCACATTTTTTTTTTGAAAAACTGCTAGCTAAAAACTCAAAGTAATAACAAATTTTTAAAAGTACATCAGCAGTAGGAACCCTGCTAAACAACTGGACAGTTGAGGTGCTAAAAGAGAACTCAGAATTGATAGGGCAGGGGTGGGGAACCTCAGGCCTGGGGACTGGATGTGCCCTCTGTGTTACCTGGATCTGTCTCCTAAAGCTCAGACCCCACCCCACCGCTATACTGTGGGGCTAGAGCAAACAAAATCTCATTTGTGTGCAGCCCCCAATTGATTTTTGTACCAAATGCCTGGAGAATAGTTAATATGATTTCAATTTTTAACAAAGGGTTTCAGAGGTGATCCTGGCAATCACAGGCCAGAAAGTCTAACTTCAGTACCAGGTAAATTGATTACAATTATAGTAAAGAACAGAATTCTTAGACATATAGATGAACATAATTTGAGGAAGAGTCAATGTGGTATTTGTAAAGGAAATTCATGCCTCACCAATGTACTAGAATATCCTGAGGGGGTCAACAAGTATGTGGACAAGAGGGATCAGTGGATATCAAGTATTTAGATTTCCAGAAAACTTTTGACAAGGTCCCTCACCAAAGGCTCTTAAGTAAAATAAGCTGTCATGGGATCAAAGGGAAGGTCCTCTCATGGATTGGTAATGGGTTAAAGTATAGAAACACAGGGTAGGACTAAACGGCCACTTTTCAGAATGTAGAGAATTAATTAGTGTCTTCTTTCTGGGGACTGTACTGCAACCAATCCTATTCTACATAAATGATCTGGAGTAAGGGGTAATTGGTGAGGTGGCAAAATTTGCAGATGATACAAAATTGCTCAATATAGTTAAGTCCTCAGTGGACTGCAAAAAGCTTCATAAAACTGCATGACGGGGCAACAAAATGATAGATGAAGTTCAGTGTTAATAAATGCAATAATCCCAAATGATGGGGTCTAACTTAGCTGTCACCACTGAAGAGAGATATTGGAGTCATTGTGGATAGTTCTCTAAAAAGATCCACTCAATGCACAGTGGCAGTCAAAAAAGCAAACAGAATGTTGGGAACCATTAAGAAAGGGATACATAATAAATCTCTTTATAAATCCATCTCAGGCCCACATTTTGAATATTGTGTGCAGATGTGGTCACCATCTAAAAATATATATATATTGGAATTGGAAAAAGTTCAGAAAAGGGCAACAAAAATGATTGAGGATATGGAGCAGATGTCATATGAGGAGAGATTAATAAAACTGGGAGTTTTCTGCTTGGAAAAAAAGATGACTAAGTGGGGATATGTTAGAGGTCTATAAAATCATTACTGGTGTTGAAAAAATAAACAAAGAAAAGTTATTTACTCCTTCCCATAACACAAGAACTACAGCAAAATGCAGGACAATGTAGCACTTTAAAGACTAACAAGATGGTTTATTAGATGATGAGCTTTCGTGGGCCAGACCCACTTCCTCAGATCAAAAGGAAGTGGGTCTGGCCCACGAAAGCTCATCATCTAATAAACCATCTTGTTAGTCTTTAAAGTGCTACATTGTCCTGCATTTTGCTTCAACTAC